CCTATCTCTATGCTCTTATAGAGTAACCTACTAATAGTACTCTCCCCTCTAGGTCTTTTCTAGGAGCTACCTATTATAGCGTTAAAGTAAGTTAGATTACTACTATCTTAGGTAGTAAGACCCTAATTTATAACCTATATAGATCCTTTATCTCCTATACTAAAGTTTAGTTCTAGTATTAGTTTAGGAGTTTAGAGCCCTATTAGCTTAGGGGACTTTATATAGATCCTTTATACTAAGCTAGCTATACTTAGTACCTACGCTAGAGGTGTCTGCTTAGGGGGTTGTAAATTACTAGGCTAGCTAGCCTAATTATCTACCTCCTCTAGCTCTACCCTACCCCCTAGCTCCTGCGCTAAGTTTAGTCCTTCTTGCTTACTAGACTCCTTATATTACTCTGCTATAATATAAAGCTAATTAAAGATATTAAGCTCTTTATATACTTCTCCTATATTATAGATCTTATCTTTACTAATAATATTAACTATCTTTTAAGCCTCTAACTATTAAAGCTAGTCTAGATCTTTCTCTTTATAGAAAAGATCCTTATTAAAGGTAATATTCTATATTATAATAATCTAATTAAGCAAGGGGATCTATATCCTATATATATTAGATACTTTATATCCTACTAGATGTCTAATATAACCCTAAGGGTTCACCTTAAAAACCCTCTTGTAACGCCTAGCTACTTAATCTTAGTTAAGGGGGTAAGCTTAATAGCTATAGGCGTATATTCCGCTCTAATTAGGGCAGAGATTAGTAGTTGCCTCCCTTATCTACTCTAGTTGCTACTACCTAAAGTATCTAGTAAACTAATAATCTAGCACTTTGTTAGGTAATATTATATTATAAGTATAGGATAGGCTTATATTATAGAGCTAAGTTGCTGCTTTAATAATTTTAGGCTAGAGCTTTGTTAGTAGGTTAGCACTAATCCTTATTTTAATTAATTTTGTTATAATCTCCTGCCCTACTCTTTCTACTCCTCTATTAGGTTTATAGGTATATATAGGTAAGCTCTTAATTTTAATACTATTATTAGCTACCTAGATCTAAAAATAAGATTTGCTATACTAAGGGAGTGTTATAATATTATTATCTTATATAATCTTAACTATGCTAAGCTTATATTAGTTAAGTATTAAGCTCTTAAAATTTTTAAACACCTGTATAATCTTATTAAGGTTTTTAGCTTATAGTAGATAGGTATAAAGCTTTTCTAAGTAGTTACACTTTAATACTAAGATCTATTACTTATAAGCTATACCTGTTAGCATATTAAATAGATCCTATAATACCTAGTAGTATAGACGTAGTAATCTTTCCCTTAGTTATCTTAATATAACCTATTAGGCATGTGTAATAGCGTAGTACTTGTATTTGCTCCTAGGAGTTCCTTTAATCCTAATATTTATTACTAACTTAACTAGAGCTTTAAGCGCCCTAGGTCCTAAATAGCCTAATTATTAGTGCTAAAGCTCCTTACTATTGTGTCTTAGGTAAGTTGTCTAGGATTATTAGGGTTATTTAGGCACTATGCTTTAGATTATTTAATAAGGGGTAAAGGGCTTATATTCTAGGAAAGTTAAGTTAAACTTACGTAGTAACTTAGCTAATATAACGCTCTTTTCTAATAATCTAAACTATAAGGTAGTATCTAGCCTAAGGAACTAAACTCCTGCTTTAAGTAATTAAGCTTCTAATATAATATTTATATAAAAACCTTCTACTAATACTACGTTAGTAAGCACTAAATCTTCTATTTTTAGACCTCTTAGTCTATTAAGAGTATTAGGGATTACTCTAGTCCCTCTACCTAAGATTAGAAAAGCTTAAGTTCCTGCTTTAACTATCTTATATTTAACTAATCTAAACAAGCTTTCTTCTAGGTAGCTTATATTATTAACTAGGTGTACTGCACCCCTATTATTAAAGATAGTGCTCTTTAATAGAGCGTAAGCTTTAAAGTCTATAGTTAAATAGATCCTATTTGTTTTCTTTACTATTAATATAGGGTTAATTAGTGCTGCCTAGATACTACCTAGATAGGTAATCGCGCTTACCTTACTACTATAATCTTAATTAATAGGATAGGACTTGATTAGAGCTTTTCTTAACTCTTTAAATTTTTAATTCCTATTAATCTTTTTCTTAATCTCTAATTATTAAGTAGTAGTAAGCTTATTACCTATATTAGTCTAAGCTTTAATAATATTTTTATATTTAGGAGGTTTCTATAAGTAGGATCTACTATATAGGTATAAAGACTCCTTCTTAGGTTAATTAGAAGGTGGAGCTCCTATTATTACAAACACTCTAGGACCCTTAGAGCTTAATCTTATATTATTCTCTTAGAGAAGTAATAAATAGATCTTAGTAACCTATAGGAGGTTATAAGTTAGCTCTCCTATTACTAACTTTTTAATAATCCTTTAAAATATAGTTTAACCTTAATCTAGTAAGATCCTAGTAGATAGAGCTTTAAGATAATCCTATACTATAAGCTATCCTTTAATATTAGGAATATTATATACCTTAGCTTGCGTATATAGGATTGTCCACTCCTTCTACTAGTAATTAGCGTCTTAGCTACTTATCTTTACCTTAGCAAGATAAGCTTTATACTATAATCTTGCTAGTGTTACAGCGCTTAAATTAGTTAGCGCTAGGTTATTATAGAGCACTTAGATAAGTGCTTAGAGGGTTACTCTTCCTTAATTAATAAGCTCTATATAGGCTAGGGTAAGGATCCCTTAATCTACTATATTATTAACCTATATAAAAAGGTTCTAGATTACTAATAACTTTAATACCTAATCTAATAAGCAGGCTTAGTACTAAGTTATTTAGAGTTTATACTACTTGCTTATTATATTAGATAGCGTAGTACCTATTAGTATATTAGGCTTAATAGGTTTATTCTTAAAGTAGTTTTTAATATCCTAAGTATTAGGGTCTACCTCTACCTAGATCCCTTTAGTTAGGGCATAGTATCTAAATTAAATATACTAGGTAGGCTAGTTAGTTAATCTAGTAAGTAGGATATCCCCCTTTAGGATTTAGTTGCTTATAGTAGAAGAGTAATAAGTAAGCTTCTGCTTAAGAAATAGTATAAAGAAAGAGTAAAGCTTACTAGCTTAGTATCTAAGTTAAATAATACACTTAAATAGATAGGACAATCTTTAATAAGGTAAAGCGTAAACTAGGCTTATAACTATAGAAATTTAGATTACTAAGGTTAGGAATAATTTAGGAGATAGATTATTAGATTATATCTACTACAATTATACTTATATATATAGAGCTTTAGCTACCCTTACTAGAAGGTAAATAATTAGTAAACCTTCCTTACTAGAGCTCCTGCTTTTTATTAGGCACTTAGTAGTAAGCTAGTAGTTAATTAGATAGTGGGTCATACAGGGGTATTAATTAGGATTAATTAGATCAAGATGCTCCGTGATCTAGTTAATATCCCTCCTGCAACATAATAGATATAACCTACTACTACTATAGGCTAACTAGCCTAACCTTAGAGGATAATAGAAGATAATAATAGTATTAAATAGATTTAAATAATAATAATTATTAACCTTATAGGAGTAGCTATAGTTTACTATAGACGTAGTACTTAACTTTAACCTAGTAATAAGCTATATATTATTAATAAATATAGATAGTCTAAGACTAACTACCTATAGTTAAGTAAGATAATAGGTCTATATCTAGCTTTATAGTACTAGGCTCTTTATACTAATACTATTACTATATAATATACTAGTATTTATCTAGTAAGTATATTATCTATATATTACGCTAGACTATTATTAGATATACTAACTTATACTAATTACTATATAGTTATACTACTTATATACCTATTTAATTTATATTATACTATAGTTTTCTAAAAATAAGTAAGGTATATAGTAGATAGCCTTATAATTACGTAGGTATAGGCTAATTATTACGTAGGTATAGGCTAATAATTAGGTAGTTTTAGGCCTATTAATTAGGTAGGTATAGGCTATTAATTAGGTAGGTTAGGCCTAGGGACAGGATAGGTAATAACGTACTAGTAGTTTATATAAGCATACTAAAAAAAATCTAATACTATTATTACTATACCTAATATTTATATTTTATCTTTTATAAACTACTTTATATACTCTACTAATAGGTCTATTATAAACTACTTTATACACTCTACTAATAGGTCTATAGTAAACTATACTATGTTTATACTATAAAAAAGTAA